ATTAACAAATCTACCCTATGTCTGACCAATAAGTTACTAACAATAAAAAATTACAACCCATGACAAAAAAAAATACAGGCACAGCACCAAACCTATTCACTTGTATTAGTTAAGAGATGTTTTGCAGCTCCAATAGCTTCTCCATCATCCTCGTTCCAATTCGACAAAGCGCCAAACCTGCATCTGATCAAATATCACAACTATGGAATATCATAGCAGGAAATTATTAGTTCTGCACAAAATGACAAAATCTAAACCATTGAAAAACAAATATAGACGAGTCAATCAATCAATAAATAATTAATTCACTAAAAAAAACTAATTAACCCAAATATTAGCATTCGTTCATCAATAAGATGCTAACACAGACATGCTAGTAAGCTACAGAAGGAAAAAAAAAATTGAGAAAAAAATAAAACAATGAATGCATTTAGTCAACAACGAGTTAAGCAGATTCATGCAAAAAAAAAAAACAAATTCAGGGCAACTCAATTAAATATATTGAAACAGATTCAAGGCTAACAATCGAAACTAAAATACACAGTTCAAAATCAGAAATTAAACTAAATCCATGATCAGAAAAGCTACACTAGATTATAACAGAACTTAACCAAAGCACAATTGGTGACTTACTAGTTCTCATCCACTGTCTTCTTCATGGTCTTTGTGGGCCGATTGATAACCAAAAGTGATGGCTTTAACCGAGATGGATCTCCATCTTCTTGAGCCATAAATTCTAAAAAGGCTTATTCTTGGAGTAGATGACCCAAAAGATACCTGCAACCAAACGAAATCAAAACTTCTTATCAGATTTGTTCCAAAACAGAGAAAAGCAACCAAACCAGATTCATCCAAAACGAATGACAAATTAGGTCGAGAGAGAGAGGAGATGAGGTCGACAGAGAGGGTGAGGTCGACAGAGAGAGCGAGCGAGCGATCATGCCGATGCCGACACCGACGTCATCGCCGTCGATTTGGTGAGGTATCCAGGGCAGAAAGAAGATAGGCTGAGAGAGAGAGAGAGAGATAGCCGGGTGAGTGAGTGAGTGAGGGTTTTGGAAAAAACAAAAATTTGAGTGAAGGTATTGATACAATGCAGACTCACCATAGACTCTTCTTTGGGCCAATCAAACGACGACACATGGCAAATGTATATATCATTAAATATAGGCAGTTCAGGTCAGGTCCAACGGTTCCAAATTTGTTTTACCCGAAGCCTGAACCTAAGTCAATGCTTCGGGTCAAGTCCAATGTTTACTTTTTCGATTTGGTTAAAAAAACCTCATTTTTAAGTTTGGCTTCGTCGGTTCGTTCAATTTATCGGTTTTTATGCCTACTCCTAAAGACAATGACCCATGTCATTCTTGAAGACTTAATTAAAGGAGGTAATCTTCAATTCTTCATCTTCTTTAATTTTCTTCTCTAAATTTGTTGATGTTAAAATTTTGGAGATTTAGGGTTTATGAAGCATCAATTAGGGATTTACAATTGAGACTTATAAATTATTAATTGGGGATTTTGTTGGTCTATATATTTACATCTTCTATATATTATTCAATAGCTTATACTTTATAATGTCGGATCAACATCAAAATGTTAAGAGATCAAAGACTCTTATAGATTTTTTAAGAGAAACAATGGTGAATCATCAACTAGCATGCCTTCCCGTTCTTCTCCATCTCCTCTTGTGAGAAGCAACCTCCTTCTCAACCTCAAAGAATTCACTCTAAAAATGTAAGAGTGGAGCCTTGTGATCAAGAAGTTAATACCAATTCTCTTGAGCATGATCCAGGATTACGTTCTCAAATAAACACATTTCCACCTAATCAAACGTGATAGTGTTTGAAGATTTTATATTCTCTTAAGACCATGCCAACCACAATTAAAGGAATTTCCATCACACTTAGACGGGAAACAAAATGGTCGATTTAATGGTAGTTGGTATAAGCAATACCATTGGCTTGAGTATTCTTTTCATAAAAATAAAGTATTTAGCTTTCCATGCTTTCTTTTTGATAATAATCACTTACATAAGGCATTCATTGTGGAGGGGTTTAGAAGTTGGAAAAAAGTGTGTTTTCCTTATTCATGTAAGCATTATAAATTCACCACATCATTTTGCTATGCAAAAGTGGATGAATTTAAAAAATTCAACAGAGTAGTGCAAACCCCACAATAAGTTAAAAAAATCGGTTGAGGCTTACAACCACAATAGAGGCCATTAGATATCTAGCAAATCAAGGAATGGCTTTTGGGAGGTGATGATGAATCTTGTGACTCCTCCAATTGAGGCAACGAAATTGAGGCAATTTCGTTGAGTTGTTGAAGGCTTTGCAAGAACGAATATAAACATTGAAAAAGTTGTGTTATAAAATACTCCCTGAAATGCCCAAATATTTCACATAAGATACAAAAAGATATCCTAAATATCTATGCTACCAAAGTGAGGAAGATGATACGCGATGAAATTGTGGAAGATGAGAAATTTTGTATTCGTATTGATGAAGCACTTGACGACTCTAAGAAGGAACAAATGACTATTATCCAAAGATTTGTTGGTTGTGATAGGCATATTCAAAAAAGGTTTTTTGATATTGTGAGTGTTCATGACACTAACTCCTCAACTCTTAAAAGTGATGAAGATTCTCGCCTTAGAATTATTCATCGTGACATCAATATTATTTATTAAATTTGAAAATATTTTAAAATGAATATTAAACAGAAAAACGTAAGTTCTTCCTGTGTCGAAATTCCTAACAAAGGGGTTATATTTTGGCCAAGTACTGGACGCTGAGTGTTGGGGGTTATATTTTGGCCTGAAACTGGCAGTGGCAAAGGGTCTGTCTAAAATAATTGTGGAGATGGATTCGGCTGTGACTGTTCAACTTATTCATAAAGCTGAGCACCTGGAATGCCATCCCCTTGCCCCCTTAATTATTAGCTGCTGTGATCTCATGAAGCATGTTGGGGATTGTGTGGTCCATCATATTTACAGGGAGGTAAACTGGGTCGCAGATAGGCTTGCTAACTGGAGCTACAATCTGGATCTTGGTGTTTGTGTTTTTGACTGTGCCCCTCCTTGGGCAAGT